CTCATTATTACGATTCAGAACCCAGCGCCATGGGACCGCTTCATTGACTCGAAGCGTACAGACACCTCGATGTTTGAAGCTTATGACATTCAACACGTGAGCGCAAAATTCGAGGGAATCGACAGTCAACTTGCGCGGCGCTTAGGAAAGGCAATTTCGAGGCGGCGTCAGTACTTCAAGTACAGAGAGCTTCGTCACGAGAAGCTTTCGCGTCAAATGGATGAACAGGCAGACGCCAACGTAACGGACACCATTTCAAGTACCGTTGCATCTTCTTTTTACAATCACTCGAAGCCACTCCCACAAATCTACGACTTTAGCGAGTCTCAAGACGTGGCTTCTGTGACCTCATACGACGCTTCGACCTTAGAAGATGCTCAAGAAAGGTCCGTCCCAGACTTACCAAAGGAAGCATACGATGGACCATTCGAATGTCAATTCTGCTTCATGATTGTGGACATAAGAGACACTCGCGCCTGGAGGTAATCCACCATCCCATCACACACGTTCTCTGTACCGTAGCTAACCTGTATTCTTAGACAACATGTGTACGACGACCTACGTCCGTACAATTGCCTAGCCAAAGACTGCATCATGCCAGATCAAGATTTCGGGAAGAGGCATGAATGGATGCATCACATGATTCAAAATCACTTGAGGATATGGTATTGCCCTTTCAATTGCGACTGCACCTTCAAGTCTGCGTCTCAGTCTGCAGAACACTTACAGACGCAACATCGTAATACGATACGTGACGAACATGTCAACAACCTGGTCAAGCGGAATTCTCAGCCCTTGGACGAGAACGCGGAAGTAACATGCGAGCTTTGCTCCGAGACGCTCTCGTCGTTGAAGAGCTATCGGCATCATGCAGGGAAGCATCAACAGCAGCTAGCTCTGTTCGCCCTCCCCCATGTTGATGAACCGGAGCCTGAACAAGGCCAAGCCAACCAGGCCTCGAACAAGAAACAAGATTCAGACTCTGACTCCGAGGCCGAGGCCGAGGCTAACTCTGACAGCGGGGTCAAAACTGACCCCAAGGGCCGGCGCCCTGACAATGATCCGTCTATGTTCACCGTCAATATAAGCAATCCGTTCCAGAAGAAGCGGTCTTAGCGGCTCGCCTTGGAAAGGCCAGACAACCAGATGTCGCCCAGGCCGCCACTCTAGAACACCAAGCCCATAATGACGGGTCCGACCAGTCGAGGCTGGAAACCCATCACTGAGAGACCGACGCAACTTGAGTGAGAATCTGTGGGCTGGGGGCTGTGACTGATACCACGATTTGGTTCGTATCGCATGGCGGATTGGGGATAAGTAGTGTCGTTCTTTTGATAGTGAATAAAATAGAATTTTGCATAGCATCAGCACATTCCGAACAGCATTGCCATGGCCTTTTATATTTTGACAAACATGTACTGTTCATTAAGTCCCCCAACGACGTCACCTTCCACCCCTTAGCAGGAGCTTCTTCAACTGCACGGAAACGACTGTGACCACGATGCCTCCCGATGCCACCCCTAGTAGCTTTGCCATGTAATAAGGTACTTAAAAAAAAGGACAACACTTCCAGAACCGAAAACCCAGATATGACAGCAACACTGATATTGATGAGCAATAGAGCTATTGCAGTGGCCTCAAGATGATCAAATATTGTCTATGGATGTATAATGTTATCGCAAATCTTCTACCTTCAGCAATTCGATCAAATATCACAGTTGCTTCGAGTTCAATACCTATATACCGCCGTTCTTAGGCAGGTTCAAGGTTGCGACTCTAGTAAATCATGGACTCCAGAGGTGTCATGTCTTTCCGGATAGTCTAGCTACGTTCTTGTCCGCGGCTGGAAGCTTTGAGAGCAGAGTTCTCACGCTTAAATTCCCTCATAATCATGGACCCTTCAGTTTATCTGGCCCTTCTTCGAGTTAAATGTAGCGAACAGGAGAACTTGGCTTAAAAGGTGGAATTCTTTTCACTTTCCTTTGAGTACAAAGGCCAAGATGTCTCTTCATAGAGTTTATGGCTGCTTCTATTACGTGCTTAAACGTGTCGAACGACTGAGAGGGAAGCGACAAGAAACAGCTCCGCGGACCATGTTCCTGGGATGAGCCAGTCTGACCTACACACCATCGATTGATATTTTTGGTGCACAAAGAGTGATCATCGTTTTCTCAAAGACAAAGCAACTCTGTTCACTGTCACATGCAGCATCCGGAAAGAAAACGTGACCTCGTCACCGCTGAACCAGAACAGTATCAATGGGCTCCTTTGTTCTTCATGTGGAAAGCTGACATATAAATATGTGTCTCTAGCGGGAATCTCTGATGAGTTAAAAGAAAGAAAAAAAAGCATGAACACCAATCAGACACAGCCTTTCCAGCCTGCGTCAGCCTTCATTTCATGACCTCACGTCGATGCAATGGCAGAGAGTATCATGAGTGCTGTGTTGGAGACGAACAACCGATTCTCTAGCGTCTTACCAGTCGCCCAAGATCCTGAGCCTCATCCACTGAACCAATATCTTCAGTTGCGCCTGGCGGATGAAAAATCCAGATTCGGACGTTGGGCTAGATGCTTTAACGCGCACAAAATTAACCGCAACTCCCTCGACTACCGGCTGCGAGACGCGTCGAAGATCAAAGATCAGACTCTGACGTTTGTGAACGACTACCTTCAGACCCTTAGCAATGCCTCCAAATCTGTTAAAGATCTGCAGACGGCACTGAGTTCGCCTGATGGTCGCATGTTGAATAGCTTGACTCAAGGGGATATCGACGCATATTTAGAAGCGAACCCTGGCGACGTCCCTCCCCTCCTCGCAGAGTTAGCCAGAATCGTGAGCGAGGTCAGCGAAAGACACTCTGCTCTGTGGAGTCTAGAGAAATCTATTCAAACCCCAGATCCATGGTACGCATCCCTCAGCTCAGAGCTAGTAGATACCTCTGCATATGAGGCATTCGATATCCAGCACGTAAGCACCAAGTTCAAGGGAATTGAAGACTACCTTGCCCAACGGCTAGGAAAAGCACTCTCAAGGAGGCGTCAGTATTTCAAGTACAGGAAGGTTCTTCACGAAAGGCTTTCGCAACCTGTAGACGACCAGATGTACAACATAACGAACATTCAGCAGGATACGATGGCATCTTCCATCTCTGATCGCCCGCAAAAAGTCTCAGAGAACACCATCTGCTATGATTTATCAGTTTTCTCCTCAGACGAATTCGTCCCGTTTGAAACAAGGGCAAACGACCCTACATCAAGGCCGATCCCAGACCTGCCGGAGGAAGCACTCGACGGGCCGTTCGAATGCCAATTTTGCTACATGCGTGTTAGGACACGAGACTATCACACATGGAGGTACTTCAAGTAGTCATAAAAGCCTTGATTATCGCCGCTAATCATTCTTAGAAAACACGTGTACGACGACCTGCGCCCGTATAGCTGCTTGGCAAAAGACTGCGAGATGCCAGATATTGATTTCTTCAGAAGCCGCGACTGGATGAAGCACATGGTCGATCATCACTTCAGCACATTTTACTGCAATTTCGGATGCGGTTGCACATTCTCGTCAGAACCCGAGTGCAGAACGCATTTGAAAACACGGCATTCAGAGGAACTATCTAGAATGCATAAGGACCATACCAACGTCATAATGTGGTCTGATCCCGTGGATAATGAAGTCCAACTTTCGTGCCCTTTTTGCCTCGAAAAGATGCCCTTGGAGAATTACGAAGTCCATGTAGGGAAGCACCAACAGGAGCTAGCATTGTTCGCCCTTCCTAACAATGACGATTACACTTCAACTTTGACCGAGCACCAGAAGAAGCCCGATCGATGGTCCAGACTATGGAACTGTATTTCTTGGTGCAAGGAACACGCGAGAATTGCAATAACGAGCCTCGGGCTTTAGAAAGTTTGAGAGTTTCTTCAAGTCCAAGGGCGAAATGGAGTCCGAGATCGAGCCTGTTTGGAGAAACGAACCGCCACCGAAACTTGACAAAAGGTCGCAAGAGACTACAATTACATATTGCTATGAGATAATATATTAGATTTGTTTACAATAGTCACATATGAGAGACGCGTACGTTATGATGGTTCGAGCAATCTTAGCGGCATCCAGCATAAGAAAGCTATTGGTGGCGCCAGAGTAGGAGCCCGACACGGAATAGCAGGCGAAAGGCTACTTTGTTTTCGCCCACAGAAACTTGACCGCAGTGCGTGACGTATACAGACCGCTCAGGTACCTGATCGCTAATCGACGTTGGGCCTGGGTTTTCGGGCGACACGAAGCAGCCTCATAAGCAGTCAGCGGTGTTCGCGCTTGACGGAGAATGCTATTCACACGCCGCCGGCGAGCTGAAGGGAGGGAGAGCTAGATGTTAATGCTTGGGGAATCTCGTGATTAAGACGGTTTGAACTAGGCATTGATGCTGATGGGCGACAATTATCGAGAGGCTGACATGTGAATGCGGTGACTGGAGAACCGGTTTCGTTGGCTGTCTCTGAAAGGCGTTATTTGTTTCGACAGGAGAAAACGTAAGGGGTCCGACAATGGCTGAGGCCAACCGCATCTTTATCTCGGGGCGGGTGTCGCATAGATCAAGCAGGCAGGTGCTGTGCGAGAGAATCGAACAGGAAGGCTTTAGCACAGACAATAGGCGCATCATGAAGATCAATCTTGACAAACATGTACTTTTCATTAAGTCCCCCAACGACAACCCCTCCAACCACCCAAAAGGGGCTTCTTCAACTACCTCAACACGGAAACGACTGCTACCACGATGCCTCCCGACGCCACCCCTAGTAGCTTTGCCATGCAGATATAAAAAAGGGAACACTTTCAGAACCGAAAACCAAGAGATGACAGCAAGGCAAACAAGAAAGGGGTACGAAGAAGGCTAAAAGCGTTGTGGGGTATGTGTCATTACGAAGAAAGTGATTTTGGTTTGTGTGAAAATGTGTATTACAACGGTGGTGTGGACTGCCTCCTTTTTTTTGCGCTATGTAACCAGAATGTTGCTAAATGCGTCCGATATCTCGGATGGTGTCGGGGCTTGGAATTTTTCTTGCGTGAAGCCAGCAGCAAGACGGTCCTGCATAACCTTGAGAAGGACAGCAGGGACGCTCTCGTCTGTGGCGCGGATCGTGAGACGAATCATCTAGGCAGAGTCAGTAATCGTTACTAGTACGATATCAGGGGTAAAACAAACCTTGGTTCCGTAGTTCGGCTCAAGACGCATCAAGCAACCAAACTTGCCAGCCTCTGAGGTGTGCAAGACACTGGCACCCACGAAGTTCTTCGCGTTAGGGTCGACACCGTCAAGAACACGCCACCTGAAGCCCTCGACCGTCTGCCGTACGAAGAACTCGTTCAACTCTCTATCCGACTTTCCAGGTGCCAGACCAAAGATCGCTTGTGCCTCACGAGGGGCACCGCCGATCTGCTTCCAGCGCCTGAAGAAGTCTTCGGCGGAGAGATCCGCGGGGTCCATGAACTTGTGTGCGGTGAGGGGAAGCTTGAGGGTGACAGCCTGCAGGGCACCAGCAAGGTAGCTGATACGTATTGTCGGGCTCTTGTCAAACACCTTCTTCGACTCGAACATGATGACCTGCTGAGACTGCCCATTCTGATAGATTGTGCTCTCTGGCAGGTTCTTCACGTCCCATGTAAGCTTACCCTTTTCGTTTTCGTCAAGATCTAGTGTTGTGGTGAATGAGCCCAGGGCCGTAGGGGTCTTGTTCTTGAAGTACAAGATCAAGCACGCCATCTGGCCTCTGTACTCGGAACGTACGCCGACTTGGAGTTGCCCATCCTCATACAACACGCCCTCGCCCTTGAGCAGGAGCTTGTTGTACCCCACATCCCAGTTAGGAGACAAGTGGGCGGCACTGGCCAGGTTTGGTGCCTTCGTCTTGGGTTCGGCAGGTCCGAGATTGTTCATGTCCAGGCCGGCCAAATCGTTCACACCGTTGCCGTGACCATTTGTTCCGTTCGTGCCTCCGTTAGCCGCGTGATGGCCGTTTGTATTTGTGCTGAAGGTCCTCTTGAGGCCACCCTCCTTGGCCATCTTCATCTCTGCCACATCTGCGTTCGCATCCTTGCCACCGACAATCCAAGTTCTCTTATCGCTAGTGTTGGCATGCTTCTGATGCACTCTGGCAAGTAGTGCGGATTGTCGTTCGGAGAAAGGTGGCATTTCGTCGCATACAGTGCGGAGAAGGTCGTCTGTCGGCAGTGTGGCGAGCGTCAGGTACTCGCATGCTCTTTGCTGAAGCTCAGAGTCAAGCGTGTGGCTGAATACCTGGAATGCCTTGAGAAGCTGGGGCTTGATTTCGGGGAAGAGGTTGACAAATTTCACGTAACATGAGAGGATCATGGCTCTTGTACTTGATGAGCAGGCGGCAACCTTGCTCTGAAGAGCCATGAACTGCTCAATGGGACTGCACTTAGGCTGGTCGGCGATGAGATGGCCGAATTCGCCCAAGATGTAGGCTCCGATCTTGACCAGAGTCTCGTGGCAGTGATCCGACTTGACGTACTGCAAGGAGTGCTGAGCCGCATAAACCTGCAGCTCCTCGTTGTTCGTCACAATCTGGATGACTCGCTGCCACACCTCATCGCTGACGTGATCACCAGCCATGGCAATCAAACGCAGCGAGATGTCCACGTACCACTGAACGTCAGTGGCATATCGTTCAGTCAAGATAGCAATCTTCAGCACCATCTCCTCTCTTATGGCGAAATCGGCGTTCTGGAGGTAGTGGAGAAGTTCGCCGACAATAACTTGGGCATTGGACGAGTCGCACATGCTGTAGAGAAGGTCGAGACCTTTCCTCCGCACGCTGATATCTCTGTCCTTAAGTGAGCCAAGAATGACGTCCTGGTGCTGCTTGATCGGTTCCAGGGTCTCGATGCGGGCTGCCAGATGTGTCATCGCCTCCAAACCCAAGTAACGAACGTTGGTTTCCCTTGAGGTCAAGAATCGGCCCAGACGAGATGAGATCTGCTTCAACAGGGCTTGCTCGTTATCCAAGTGAATGATGAGGTTGATAGCTTCGAAGAGCACAGCGTTCTGTGCGTTGTTCTGCTGGACGTTCTTCGTTTGTTCCATTGCGAGGTTCAGAATCTTCTGCAACGACTCTCGGATCATCTCGCGGACGTGAGTGTCATCTAAGGCGATTAGCATGTGCTAACTAGCCTATTTCTCATGTGTAACTCACCTGAAGGAGGGAAGTACTGCAGTAGACGCAGAAGCTTGACCTGGAGCCAGGGGCAAGGGACCTTGTAGTAAAGGTAGTCCGGAGTGTACTCCCCGTCAATGACTATCCTCTTAATTCTTGCTGTGGCCTTCGCATACGCCCCCTTGTATGCATTCGCATTGTCCTGGGCAAGGGCCATGACGAGAGACGTGACAGACAGAGCCACCCCGACATCTACGTCATCCAGAAGCGATATTATGCGCTCGGCCCATTGCGGCTGGACAATGTCGGGGTTCTTGCGGTATAGACGGAGGAGGGTAAGTGAGGCCTTCTTCTTCACGAACGCCTTGGATGTTCTGGATCGCTGCTGTTAGTCACTGGCCTGATACTCAGGGGTCAACCAAACGTACGGCGAAATCAGAAGCCTGTGAACCTCTCCGCTCAGGGCCTCTCCCATTTCTCTGCCACCGACGTTGGCAATTGCGTGGAGAGCTAGACAGTTGAACAGCTCATTGTGGTCCAGCAAGTCCTTCCTTATACTGTTGACGACCAGGTGCAGCAGCTCATGCTTCTCGTGGAGGAACAGGGTCATGGCGAGGTATCCAATCTGCTTCTCCGAGTACTTGTTCGCCGAGATGAGGTTGACGGCCTCGAGGTGGCCAAAGTCGACGTTCCATCCGAGGATGTAGATGTAGAGGAGCTTCATAGATTGTCAGCACGAAGCACCAGCCAATGCAGCTCAGGACAGTCCGTACCTTGCACACGTATTTCTTCTTGTGATAACCGCTCAGGTTGCCATCTGCAAAGGAGTTAGCACAACGAGATCGCGCCGACTGACAACGGATTTGTACCCTTGAACTTTTGTCTACACGTGGGAACTCTTGTTAGTACTCCGTCGCGAGACAGCGCAGTATGACATGCCGGGAGATGCGTGCTCACCGAATGTTGGCCAGCTCCTTGTTGATTCTCTTCTCTTCCAGCTCCCTAGCTCTTGCGTTTCTCAGATCGGCAATGAATTGCACCAACCCTCGCATGTTGGAGTTGTTGCTAGTCGAGCGGCCGAGGAAGCCGCTCGCGGAGGACGACATGGCTGCGGTGTTTGCCGGGTTTGACGGGCAATCTGTTTGAAGCTGTCTCCTCTGCCCTCCAAAATGCCTTCCCCCCTCTTCTGCGCGGGATGAAAGGGGTTGAGCTGGCGGATGTTGTTGGACTCGCTACGAGAGTTTCGTAATAGAGCGTCGCGGGTGCGAAATCGATGGGTGGTGTGTATTTGGCGTCGGGTCGTGTGTTGTTGTCTGCTCCGATGCGAGCGTTGGGCAATCACTCCATGCGCGCGCGAGGGTCCTTTCTTCTCGTATTTCTGCTCGCTTACCCCAGCTGACCTGCTGATTGCCGCGTGGAGTTTTTGGGGAGATCAACTGTCGGATCGGTGGACGGCGGGATGGTGGACTCGGCGACTCGAACTCGAAACCGGCCGGCAAGTGCCGCTGCGTGTCTTAGCAATGTGTTCCCGTCGAGTAATGAAGACGCAACCAGGGGGTTATCGACAATGGACAGAGGCTGATGGTTGGCTCGAGATTGAGTTCGGTCTTGTAAGGGTTTCGGCGTCGATTCGCGATGTTGCACTGGGCGAAATTAGGAAATGGGAAACGAAACTCCAAGGAAAGGGGTTCGAGGGGCTTTCGCGGGCTTGGGAGAAAACGACACTTTAGAGAAGCCCGGAAGGCTTGGGATTGGGAATGCAGCCAATGTGTGGAGATGTGCCACCCGCACATTGGACGTCTGAACGGGCCCGTCAAACCACTCCGAGGTACCTCTGCTTGTACTTCTTTACAGGTGATGTACCTCTCACCTGAGCGAAAGCATCCTGGATGTCTACAACACGCAACACGGGCATCAACAGCTGCTGCGAGTTGAACGTCAGGACAGTCAGGTAAGCGTCCCAGCGTCTATCAGGTGCTTGCTTGTCACACTTGTCCCCCATAGACTGCGCTCTTCACGGGCGGCCTTGCTGCTGTGCGCGCAGTGTGCCCGCTGCTTGAAGACTGGGCGCGTCAGGGGTGTTGCAAGGTACTTCCATCGACCTATTTCTCAAGCCATTGAACATGCTCCCCGTTGCTGACTGATGAATTTAGGGAGATAGAAACTCAAGAGAGGGGACTTTGACCGGGGGGGCACGCACGCTACAGGCCCGTGCAGGAGCGACACCTTCCCCGTCAGAAAGGTACGTAACTATGCGCGCTAAACTCAGTTGGTTCCCGTCAATTGGCAAGCTCCAAAGTGTGCTGACAAGCCGAACTAAAGTGCTGCATCATCGAAGTTGCTGAAATTCCCATGCAGAAGGAAGGAGCTCCCCTCCCGTCTGTCAATCCATAATAAGAAAACCTTCTTTTGTTCAACAAAAAACCCAAATCCTACCACATACCACAGCCGCCACCGTCTCTTTGTTCTTCTGCAGGATTCTCAATTCCAAAAAGTCACACAACCCTTTCCCCCCATGTCCGTCTCAGCATTTCGGTGCAGATATGCGGCGCCAGTGATGAACTCCACGACCAGACGGGTGGTGTGCCTCGCCGCCGCACCGAGCTCCCGGTTCTTCGCCGGATCCCCCTCCACAACCATACGCCGGTCCTACGCCGTAACATCCGGCGGCGGCTCTGCTGCCTTTCAGGTCTTCAACCGTCGCACAAAATGGCTGCAAAAGGAGCGCGCAGCATCGAATCCCGAGGCCAGCCGGCAAGCAGATTACCTCAAAGATGAAGTCGCAAACCGGCTGTGCGAGAGGTTACTGGTGAGAACATCACCACCATCATATCCATGATCCCCCTCTCCCAGAGCATTGCTTTACGGCAGACCTCAACCTGACAGCATCCACGATGGCCAATGCCTCTAGAGACAAACCAGACACTAATACATTGCTCTCCAACAGGACATCAAACGAAGCTTTCCCCGCGCCCTCGACCTAGGCGCAAACTCCTGCAACGTAGCCCGCGCCCTCACCCGCGAGAACCCAGACCCGGACCCCTCGAAACCAATCTCAGAACCCCTCGCCACCCGCATAGGCGAACTCGTCGCTGCAGAGTCCTCCCACACCCTCCTTCACCGCGACGCCGACCTCCCCTTCAACAACGACATCTCCATCACCCGCACCGTCCTCGTCGACGAGGAACACGTCCCCTTCGAGCCCGCCTCCTTCGACCTTGTTCTCTCCTCCCTGTCTTTACACTGGATCAACGACCTCCCGGGCGTCCTAACGCAGATCAACAACGTCCTCAAGCCAGACGCTCCCTTCATCGGCGCCATGCTCGGCGGCGACAGCCTCTTTGAGCTGCGCACCTCCCTCCAGCTCGCGGAACAGGAGCGCCGCGGCGGCATCTCCCCGCACGTGTCTCCCCTCGCTGACGTCCGCGACGTGGGCGGCCTGATGCAGCGCGCCGGCTTCAAGATGCTGACCGTCGACGTCGACGACATTGTCGTAGACTACCCCGACACCTTTGCGCTCATGCAAGACCTGCAGGCCATGGGCGAGGGCAACGCTATCCTCGGCAGGGAAATGGGCGCCATCAGGAGGGAGGTGCTGCTGGCCAACGAGGGCATCTACAGGGAGCTCCACGGCAACGAGGACGGGAGCATCCCCGCCACGTTCAGAATCATTTACATGATCGGGTGGCACGAGGGCGCCGACCAGCCCACGGCGCTGCCGAGAGGAAGCGGAGACGTGAACCTCAAGGACATCTTAGAGTCCAATTAGATATGATGCCGAACCTGGCACATTTGCAAGAAATCAACTGTAAAACCTGTAAAATCAGAATCAAAACAAAAAATTCTATGGATTTCATTTGTCGGCACGCCCAGTCTTTTTCTAATTTGATTCAGTAAAAAAAGACACGCCCAAAACCCCGAGCATGCCCATACTCGTCATGAAGTTCATTACACACCCTTTTCTTTTCCGCCCCCTCTCTCTCACTACTCCTCGTCCTTCTCGCCCCCTTAAACCCGTCTCCAATCCGTCATGACACGACCAATAGTTCCCAACCCAGCCACGTCGACAACCTTCTCGTGCCAGCTAAGCAACACGCTCATCGCGCTACCGACGTTCTCGTTGGTGGCTCCGGGGCGACCGCCCATCTGGCTGAACCCGCTCGGCGCAGCCTGCGGCGGCGGCGACCTCAGTCCTCCAGAGGCCGCAGAGCCGGCCATGCCCTTGTAAATGTACTTCATCAGCACGTCGAGAAGCTCGGGTCCGCCGGCGCCGCCGTAGATGGACTTGAGGAGGGGCGTCATCTCGGAAGCCTTGATGGATTGGAGGACCTCGGTGATGGTCTGGAGGTGGGCATCCTGTTCGCGGAATAACTCGATTAGCAACCTCCCGAGCTCCATTCGAATGCCTAGATATCAGAAACCCCGGGTCTTAAATCTCACCTTGGCGCCATCAGGTCCATTGTACACAGGAAACTCCAAACATCCCCTCAACGCCCCCTCGGCATCCCCGCCGCGGAGCAACTGCCGCACCTGGCCCGCGAGCTGCCGGACCTCATCCTCGCCAATCTCGGGCTGCGGCGGCCGCAGGGTGTTGGTGTCAAAGTTGCACGCCGAGTCCTCCTGCAGGGCGTCAATGTTGATGGTCCGCCAGGCGTCGCTGAGCGAGGCGGCGTTGAGCTCCCGGTGAATGGACATTGTGGGTATGGTCGATCGCTATGCCGTATACGCAAAGGGTTCGGTTCACTTATCGGCAGGTGAGGTTGTGTCTACGGCAAGGTTTCTGTATGCCGTCGGTCGCTGGTGTGGTTGAAAGTAGGTAGCTTCGTCGGATTGCTCTGCGCAGGAACTCTCGTCTTGCGTCAGGTAAGGTCGGGAGGTGAGGTAAGGTAAGGTAGCCGCATGCTCATGGTGGGGAGTTGGCTCGGTGTGGATGATGTGGGGTTCACTGAGGCGGTGCGTCTGGCTGACGACGTTGGTCCGTGCCATGGTTCATTCGTGCTAACCCGCTGTAGACCGGATCTTGGCCATCAAAAGCCTCGATGTCACTCCTCATGGGTCCACGCTGGTTCATATGGCTGGACATCGCACTGTTCGTCCGGGAATGCAAATGCAAAAAACAATTCTGTAAATGATGAAAATCTCGCGCACATCTACCGCAAACACAAGAACATCACTGAGACATGGTATGTGTAGAAACTAATAATTGCATGCCATTGTCTAGGTCCAAAAGTTGCCCATCTCACACTCTCGTGCCCCCCTATACGTATACACAACGTCGACTGGTTGTCCTACTACGTTGCCGACTTCTGGGGGATATCAAGCACCCGCATTTAGCGTCTCCGCTTATGCGTCAATCAGGTTCTCCTCGTTTTGCTGCACCTGCTGTCTCTGTTTGCCCTTGTCCTTGGCCTCCTTGGCCGCACGCTGGTAGAACTCGTTGAGAACCTTGCCGGGAATACGGTTGAGCAGGTCCTTGGGGTAGAGACGAAGCAAGCTCCATGCCAGGTCGAGAGACTCGTAAATGGTGCGAGCCTCGTACTGGCCCTGGTTGATGAACTGGCGCTCAAACTTCTCGAGGAACTCCAGAGAAAGCTTGTCCTCAGCTGACAGAGCCTCCTCACCGACGACAGCCTTCATGGCAGCGGCGTCACGACCGATGGCGTACTTGGCGTAGAGCTGGTTGGAAACATCGCCGTGGTCCTTGCGGGTCATGCCCTCACCAATGGCAGACTTCATGAGACGAGACAGAGACGGCAGAACGTTGATGGGCGGGTAAATACCACGGTTGTAAAGGCCTCTGTCGACGAAGATCTGACCCTCCGTAATGTAACCCGTCAAGTCGGGAATGGGGTGAGTAATATCCTCGTTGGGCATGGTCAAAATGGGAACCTGGGTGATGGAACCGTTGCGACCCGCCACACGACCGGCGCGCTCGTAAATGGTGGACAAATCCGTGTACATGTAACCGGGGTAACCACGACGACCCGGGACTTCTTCACGGGCGGCTGAGACCTCACGAAGAGCGTCGCAGTAAGCGGACAAATCAGTAAGAATAACGAGAACGTGCTTCTCGAGCTGGTAGGCGTAGTATTCGGCGGTCGTAAGCGCGAGACGAGGAGTGATGATACGCTCGATACTGGCATGGTTGTCAGCCTGCACATTCCTTTACGGTACATTCTGATATTAAAACTCACGTAGGATCGTTGGCAAGGTTAAGGAAAAGGGTGACACGCTCCAAAGAGCCGTTCTCCTCGAAATCGCGGGTGAAGAATCTGGCGGTTTCCAAGTTGACACCCATGGCACCGAAGACAATGGAGAAGTTCTCCTCGTGGCCGTCGTGGACACCCTTGTTGGTGACACCCTGCTTCTGGACCAAACTGGCCTGTCTGCAAATCTGGGCGGCAATTTCGTTGTGCGGCAGACCAGACGAAGAGAAAATAGGAATCTTTTGTCCACGGGCGATGGAGTTCATGGTGTCGATGGCAGAGATACCGGTCGAAATCATCTCCTCGGGGTATTCCTACAACGTGTCAGAACCCAAGACCATGGTGTGATATTCGGGGGCGTCACATACACGGGAGAAGGGGTTAATGGGACTGCCGTTGATGTCGAGGTAGTCCTCAGCAAGGACCTTGGGGCCCTTGTCGATAGCTCGTCCGGAACCGTCAAAGATACGACCCAGCATGTCCTCCGACACACCAAGCTTCAAGCTCTGGCCGGTGAACTCGACTTTCGTCTGGGTAGAGTTTTAGCGCTCGTCATATTTGCCGAGATGCGATGATCTCATACCTTCTTAACATCGATGCCTGATGTTCCCTCAAAGACCTGTTTCCATCGTCAATCGGTGTTTCTCGTGTGATCGCTCGTTTTCGCATACCTGGACGACGGCTCGGTCACCTAGAGATGTTCGTTAGCACGCATGTTATTGAGCAGAGGAATGACGTTGTGTAAATACCTCGAGCCTCGAGAACCTGACCCTGTCTGTTGGTTCCATCGGGCAGGGTCAGGGAGACAATCTCGTTGTATCTGGGGAATTTGACCTAGATGCAGAATCAGTGCCTAACTCAGATAATTCGCTGGCGGAAACTCCAGCGCGACTGGGCGACGACGCACATTCTCGAGGATGACGAGGGGTCCGTTGACACCGCCGACGGTGTTGTACCGAATTCTCGGCACGATGGAGTAAGAGGGCTCCCGCGGGTCACTCATTGCTTCTGACTATCAGCGAGACAGCGCCGGATTAGAAGACAATGCGTGTTGGGTCGGAGGGGGGGCGATTAGGAAGGGCGTGGGCGGGCGGATTGATGGAGACGATGCGAGGCGCTGCGATGTACGTAGCTGGAGGAGGTTGGCAGGTCGGTGCAGTGTCGTCGAATGCACTGCACTGGAGCTTGCTTCGTCTTGGTGGAGCCCGCTCGGCAAGCTGAGGTGGCGCCGATAAGATCACTGGTGACTGGGGGGCGCGGGCCTTGGACGCCTGGGAGCTTCCCAGTGTGCCATTATCGGTCTCAGTGTCAGCTTGGGCGCTAGCAGTCACGAATTGTGGCAGTGACATCACATGACTGCCCGCACTCCAACCTGAAGGTAATACGAGGTACCTCACCTTCTTCCAATGCATTTTCCCTGGGCATTTCAGGGCAGAACGAACTCATGCGATAATACAGATCAAGACAAGAACTGAAAAATGCATCTCAAACTCCAATTCGATTCTCAAGAAACTCAAGACTACGCTGTCGCCGCTTCACGAGATCTGGCGCCCAAAACAGCCTTTCCAACAGTGCTGTCGTTGGCCTTGCTCAACTCGCCCGTGATCCAAGCACCAATATCAGACATCGCATCCAGGTCAATGCCAGTGTCCATACCCAGACTCTCAATAAAGTAAATCATGTTTTCCGTAGCCACATTGCCAGTCGCACCGGGGCTGTAAGGGCATCCTCCAAGGCCGCCAACACTGCTGTCAAACGTGCGGATGCCATGCTCCAAAGACACAGCCGTGTTAACCAGAGCCTGGCCATACGTGTCGTGGAAGTGCATCGCAATGTCCTCGTTGCGGATTCCCGCAGCCCTCATGCAATTCAGCAGCTCCTTGGTCCGGGGAGCGGTTCCCATACCGGTGGTGTCGCCCAGAGACACCTCATCGGCGCCCGACTCCAGCAGTTCCGTCGAGATCTCGGCGACCTTGTGCGGGTCAACGTCGTACCCCTCAAAGGGGCAACCGAGGACCACGGAGACGTATGCGCGAACGCGGAGGCCGGCCGCTTTTGACTCGCGAATGACCTCGCGGAAGCGGTCTAGTGACGTCGCAATGTCGCAGTTGAGGTTCTTCTTCGAGAAAGATTCGGTCGCTGCCGCGAAAACGGCAACTTCGACGGCGGGGGTCGAAGCATCAGCTGAGGGCTGTAGTTGTGATGCGAATGCGCCGGGGTATTTGACCAGCAGCGCCTGGGCGTTCTGCAGACCCTTGATATTCGGTGCAAGAAATGAGTATGATGTTTGGGCTGGAGAGGAGACCTTTCGGGTGAGGAGGTGCTCGAGAATTTCGCTTGAATTGGCCATCTGTAACCGTTCAGCCGTCAGTAACACTGATACCAAGATTCATCAGGCCACTCGGGTAAGCTTACCTGGGGAACCCATTTCGGCGAGACAAAGGAGCCGCCTTCAATTGTAGACACACCAGTCTTGGCGAGCCTCTCAATCAGCTCGATCTTGGTCGCAAGGGGTATCGTCTTCTTCTCGTTCTGGAGGCCATCGCGAGGACCGACCTCGACGAGCTTCACATAGTTGTCGCGGGGCGGCTGCTGGATGGGACCGCTGGCGGTTGCGAACGCTCTCGCCGGGCGAATCTGGGCCTTTCGGCACGCCCTACAGACTGATGGGCGAATAGCAAGCATTTTGAGGTTGAATTGAATGAGGAATGGCAACGAGGGGTCGATCGGCAAGTTACAGAGACCTTGGAGAAGAGCTGGGGCATGGGGAGCTTGGCCGCATATCGTCGGCTTCCACAATGCCTCGGTCGGGAACAGGTGGTGCCGCCTGTATCCAGCTGGTCAAGCAGCCGTGTTAACCCAACGTCTCAAGCGCAACTGCATTCCTACATCTCAATGGCATAATGTCGTATTGCAAAACACAAATCTCTACTATCTCCCAGTTGCCTACGTTTGTTTGTCAAAGTCTGCCTCGTCTTTCAGTATGAATCAATATACGAGATTAGACCAGGGCCTTTCGCGCTCAAGATTGGCGTACACCATTTAGCCTTGATCCTGAGATGCAACTGGGCGGCACAGCAAGCAGAGTGTAGCGTATTGGACCGAGTGCGGTTTCCCCAGGTAGTCTAATAGTCTCGTGGGCAGTCTAGATGTTTGTGTTTCATTCAATAATCGCGTACGCGCGTGGCGAGCTGCGCCATAGAGGGCAACTACCCTCTCGAGGCGTCTTGCAGTAAGGTAGTCATTCTGCGTGAGCCTTCTCCAAACGCCTACATGCAATCTGCACCTTATCATGCTTCAAACCTCCATGCCCACGATGGAAAAATTCAACCATTCAGTAAATAGGGCTTTCCTGCCTCTTCTCACTCTCTTCATATGGCTCATGCCTCAACTTGTCTCGGGACAGACAGCGATACAGACGCAGTCGGTGCCTGGTATCATGCCCACATTGGCCGGGCCATCGAAACCGCGGATCACCCCCTGGGACGAGGAGTGTACCACCAGAGGCCTAATCAGGCCATGGATGTATGATATCTTCCAACTTCCTCAGTCACCAAAAGCAAGTGACTAATAAAACTATCCAGACTCTACTCTTCTTGCACAAACTCCGTCATACTGGACCAGTTCTGGTCGAAAAGCTGCGCACCGTACGTAACCAGAACTCTCAAGGAAAACGACGCATCGGATGCCGTCGGAGTCTTGGCCGATTGCTTATGTCCAGCACACAAGAGTATAGCCCGGTGAGTATCCCTCCCATTCTTCGACTTTCCACGATGTGTTGCGAAGTAGTAGTTATGCTCATGCCTAAGCTAGCTTATGCTTGTCTCTTGTCTGTCCATCCCAGGCAGAAAACCTGTACACCAAGCAGCTTCTCGAGGGTGTCTGCCCTGGTATCTCGGCTGTAGTCAACTTTTCTTACCCGTTCCAGACTTCGGCCACCACAACCGCCGAGGGAACTACAACGGTTACTTCGAGGGGCAGCGGTCCTGATGGTGCTTCGGGGGCGTTGAGAGTTCCAGTGGCCTTTCCGATTGTAGCTGTCGCTGTTGGCCTGTTTTTACCCTTGCTATGAGATAAGGGGATGCTGTTGGAAGGAATCAGTTCGATCTAATATCAGCACAATCATCACATTGTTTCCATAGCTTAATAACGAAACGGAAACGAATTGAATCGCGTTCAAGTGACGCCATGTCATACTTCCAAGTCAATTGAGTTACACGTAGCTTGACTGATCTACCCAGATCTCAATACGTCGCACCGTAAATGAGAACATCGACATCTCTTTCCACTATCCAAAGAACACCCAACTCATGCTCATTTTGGCGACTGCAGAGTCTTCACTTCTGGAAACCATCCGATTCTGAAATGGTTTGACATGTAATTGGCATCTAGAGACATCATTTAGGAAACTTCCATGACTCCTTAACCATTATCGTTGACTCGGGTCTTCTGTGCTGCTGGTCAAGCAGTAAGGGTAAGGAAAGGATTGTGGGTCAATACTTTCAGACTCCACATGAGCTTCCTCATGATAACCTAATCGTCACTGACTATGACCGTTGCCCATCTTACAGCGAGGCTGCCGCCGAGGAGTCTTGACCTTCAACATCGGGACGGGATCGGGACGGGCTGTAACTACCTCTCCATAAGTGGGATACAGCCTTGGTTGGACAGACAATTGGCCTTGAGGATGACGAACTATGGCAAGTAACAGGGCTCAATTGGCATTCCGTATCAAATATGTACTGGTCTAGAACTCATTGATATAAGCGAGACTCACAGTATTTTATTACCGTCTAATACTCATGCTCTGCTGTCGCCCATCACCAACAAAAGAGTGTCGACCAGTGGTTGAGGATATGGGCAATGCTCTTGGCTTCGTGGACAGTCCTAGTGTGCTCCGTGTGTCTTTTATCATTTGGCTATGCCACTGGTGACGGTGTTCAGGCTGTAAGAGGAAGAATTCTACAACCGTTCTCAACATCGTTCCAGGTGAGGTAGACGATATTCGCCGATTGTTTGATTGCCGGACGTGTGATGCTAGCAGAGTCTCCCAACAGTAGACTGCAGAGCTCACTTCCTCCCCTGTCCCTGTATATGTGAGCTATGGCTGTTGATCAAGGCAATAATCACCACGAAAGCTAATCCAGAATCACGAGATTCCAACAATAGCCTTCATGAAACCTCTCTACCCATAGCTTTGGCATCGGCCTCCCAGTCTTTCTGTCATCTGAGAGCCCATGGAAGAAACAAAACACTTGGGGGCGCGGCTGGATATCCCAGTTTTGGCTACCTGGCTGGCCACTTGCTTCCGCTCCAGTGTCTGGCATCTACTTCCCGCCGGGGAGAGGAGCAACACCGCCACTTCTTCGTCCGGGAGGTGAAGTTTCGAAAAAGTTACTCTCATACCTGGACGAGCGCTCCAGCGTGAGGTACCTGAAGAAAGACACCCTCCATGTTCAGGTACCTACTCTTCCGGGTTCCTCAGAATTCGGTTCTTAGTGTGTTTAACACAGTGTCCAAGATTACTTCCGCTCCATCGCCGCCTTCTTGCTCACATAGCCACAGTGCAACAGTGCGGGCCAATATGGTGTGCAAATTCTTCTTGCTATCTCCGATGAATTAAGAGGCCCTGGCTTCCACACTCCTCTTCAGGTTGCCTCTCATAGACGATATGAGGAGATTTTTTTGGTGCTACGCTTCAAACGGCGTAGAATTAAAAGGAAAGGACGTAGAAAGTTGCGATAAACGAGAACAGCGAAAGTAGAATTAAGGTACGGCAGCAGGCGAAAAGCAGTTGAACCAGGCATTTGGTGCATCTGTCAGGCGGCGTAGGGGAGATGTCATTGGCCAACCCAGTGAGACGGCCGGCCCTATGGGTGTTCGTGGGGCGGATCTTCAGGCACAGCGCACCCAATTGACTCAACCGAAACCTTATTTTCGCTGCCCCAGGCGACCATTTGACGACACTCTATTGACTTTTGACTTACAAGGCTCACTTACACGGACCACTTACACCGACTTACACGGTTGAGAACCGGACTTTCGTTTTCCTCTGCTGAGCCGCACAGTAGGACCAACGCAGAAGCGAACACATTCAAAGTCCGGTTGAGTGTCAGTGCTGATGGCTTGGTCAACTGGACATCAAGCTCTTCAGTCCCTTTGACTTTCACCCAGGATTCCGTGGAACTATCTGTAAGAAAAGGAAGCATGAAATGCCCTCGGCAACCCCGTGCCTAGGTCTTCCAGGTCTAAAGTACTTTGAAATATCTAAGGATTGGCTCATTGAAGACTTCATGGACGGTCAATTAGTACCTAGAGTAGTTTGTATTCTTGGTCTTTGCGTCTGGCAGCCCGGAGTGGCTGCGTGTCTAGCCATGGAACGACAATGACTCCAGCCCTCAATGGTCTAAAGAGGTGCGGGCAGTCCGGATGCTCATTGCCTCGACCATCGCCCACTTCTGTGTGACTGATGTCAATCCATGGCTTGAAATTGGTATTACAACGAATAAAAGTGCAATGAATCTCGTTCAAGTTGGCAAAACAGAGAATCAATTAATACCGTTGTGTTTCAGCATCTAGCAATGGCATCTCTATACCAATAAGAAATATATCCAATGCTCTGAAGTCGTGTACACCTCCCTCAACGAACCGCAATGTCCGTAATCCTCAAGCTCTCGAATCCTCAAGCCTCACATTCTCAACTCCCTCTATCTCCGCGTCAATTGCTCTACTCGCCACCAGACTCCTCAGACCGTGCTCAATCCTCTCTTACCATTCTTTGGTACCTCAAGTGGCTTATGCCCAGAACACTTACCTGGACAGAAATGTCTTCGAGCTTACCGCTCCCACTCCGAACTATGTTTTCTGTGCCTGGACGCCCGGGCATTTGCCTCCAGAATCCAGTCACCGAGTGGCTGTTTTACACGCCTGAACCCCTCTACTTGCCGCCATTTTGCTTCATGGACGTGTACATTAGCCAAAAAGACATCGCCGGAGATACATCCTCTCCAAATTATGCTTCCCGGGGTGCGGGAGCATCGTGAACCTCTGTAGCTTCTGCTTCTTCCTGTCTCCTATAAAGTGCCAAGCATTCCTCTGTCTTGTGGTTGTCAGCTTCTCTAGTCTTCATCACACTACAGTTCATCTGGCATACATTCATCAATCCAATTGAACTACAACTCCTCTCATCATATACTCATTACAACCAACAAACACGATGAATTCCCAGGACTACCAGATGAATCCGGCGTACTACCCGGTCACTCACTTCTGGGACGAAAGTCTTAACGAGGTCGTGCCTCATTACTCCCAAGACATTGACATTGATTGGGAGAGCGAGGATTTCCAAAACCAATTGAGCGATATGGCCTCCAACCTGTCTCATTTAACCTCCCTACAAGGTTCGGACGGAACTGTCACCTCTGGTATCGTCCAAGGCGCCGGAGTATACGCCAATGAATCAGGCCCAGCAGTGGGCATGGACGCCAGCAACAGCGGTGGATTTAACTTCCAAGAGCAAATGCCATATTCAATTGACCCTGCTCTTCTCCCCGCTCCTGTCCCTGTCCCTCTTGGGCCCTTCTTCGCGCCCGAAACTCCCGCCGCCGACAGCGTATTCGCTCAGGAATTCGACGTGGATTTCGGCGACGACAATGTCGTTAGAGACGTCCTCGGCCCAAACAATCAGGACGCAAGAGTCCAGAAAAGAGGAAAGGGCAACGGCAACAGCAAAGCCAAAGCCCCGCGCAGGCCAAAGGAGGCCACGCCAGACAAGCCTGCTCGCGCCGTCAGGGCCTTCTCCTGCAAGTCGTGCCGCAGGAAGAAGACAAAGTGCGACGGGAGCCCCGGCCACGCCTGTTCCAAGTGCCAAAAGAGCGGAACGGCGTGCGAGATTGACGGGAGAGATGGCCGCACCAGCAAGACCACCATCGACAAGTACGAGAGCCTTCGCTTTGCCCTCAACGCCCATCTCGTCAGGCTCGCTCAGATCTGCCACCACTTCTGTCAGAAGTGCAACGGACCCGAAGAACGTGGCCAAGTCGCGGCTGGAGCCGCTGCAACTCTTGAAGTTCACCGCAGAAGGGGCATCCCGATCGAGCCCTGGCGAATTCAGGCCATCCTGCGTCCAAGTGATCCTTCGACGAACCAGCTTCCGGGATACCGAAGTCGCTTGGTACAAGTCGGTCAGCAGGCCAAGCAAATGACGAACACTCTGGCCAAGCTCATGGTGATGCTCACGCAACAAGACTACAGTCTCTGGTGTGATGGCTGCCGCTTGACCGACGAACTATTCGACAGCAATCCGGAATTCCCCAGTTTCGACGCCAAGATCAACGCTGTATTCGTTACGGACATGCAGGACTACATCTACAAAGTCCTGGCAGATGAGGTCGATGGGATCATTGCCCAACACCTTTAAGCGAAGGAAGGTATTGGAACGGGGAGTCTGTGGGTGTGGGGTTCTCTGGTATGAGGACTGGAGAGAGAAAGCCACTCCCAAAAGAAGGGAGGGCAGTGACGGCATGAATGCCCGGTGAAAAAAAGGCACCATGCTTTCGGGAGCATTGTCTGGAGTTTGGATTCGCCTTGGATGATATACCCGGTGCAATAAGACACCACAGGTCGGAGGGCGTTAAAAGGAGTTCTGGTCTTGGGTTCTCGCTTGAGTTCCTACATTTCGAGTTAGGCCGATCGGCTTGACTCTACTTCGTTCGTTTGGGTTTATATACTCAATATAAACCCATTTAAAAAAAAATGATCCTCGGTGTACTAACACGCTTTCCCGCTAACACAGGATGAATCTTATCCCCCACTATTGTCAGTCTTCTTGTCGTGAGGTGACTGAGTGTCATAGCTAGCCTCAATCCTATCTATTGTGCTGCTTCTCTTGTTCAGCCGCCCACTTGGCAGATTATTGATTCTCAGAGGCTCAAACATGAGACTTCCCTGACGCCGTGTGAATGACAAGCCTAGCATGTGTCTGGAGGATCTAGCGCGTTCATGCTGCTCGGTATGGCACTGGAAAACTTGTATGAATGAGAGGAGAGAAATGCTTAGGAAAATCGTTCGCAGTGATGAAAAGCAATCAAGAGCGAGAGTGGAGGGCAAGAATAGTTCCAGAGTCATATGAAAACTGAGGCCGCGTACTCCGAAAGCTTGAGGACGAGTAAGAATGGAGATGGTGCAAAGCGCCTACATCTATCTCCTCTCTCCAAGTCAGCTACTACTCGAAGCAGACTTATGGAGTTATTCGCCTCCCTTGGAGAGGATGGTTCACACGAACTATAGCTCGTTGCATCACCAACTGAGACGTCGTAAAACTAGAAGAAAGGGGGCGGATGAACGCCATAACGCTAGTGACCAGGTTTGTATATCTATCATCGTCATCAATACGTGTGAACACTACTTCGGGGCAGGTTGAAGACCGCATCATTCCTGGACCAGAACTCACCTCGCCTCCCCACAGCCAATGTGTATCAACTTTCTCCATCACATTCATCCAGCCTCGTCCAAAAGTCATTCGATATCCAAAACTCTTCACACCAACTCCACTAGACCAAAATCTTAGCCTCACTCTTAGGCCCCCTCTCTCCAAAAATCGTGCTTCCCACCCGAACCTCCCCACTACCCAACTTCACCGCGCCCTCAAAGTCCTCACTCATACCCATACTCAGCTCCAGCTCCCTCTGCAAGCCCAGCTCCTTGACAACCAGATCCCGCTGCTCCTTGAGGCACACAAAGTCCTCGTTCTCGTTCTCGGGCGTCGTCGCCTTGCTCCGCGCGATGGCGCCAATGGTCATCAGGCCGAGCAGCTTGAGCGCGGGCGACTCCTCCTCGACGGCGCGGCAGAGCGCGACCGTATCCGGGCCCGGCTCGGCGCCGGACTTGGACTCCTCGCCCGAGGTGTTGACCTGCACGTGCACGCCGAGCGGCTCCACGGGGCTGCTGTCGCCTGATGACGAGGAGATGAGCTCCGCGCGCGAGGCGTTGAGGAGCTGGACCTTTTTAAGGGTATCTACGCTGGAGACGCAGAAGAGATTCGGGATCTTGGCCAGCTTCTTTGCATGTGCTATTGGAAAAGCGTCAGCTACCTCAGAACTACGTAGGGGAGGGCGAGGAGCGCATGAGTCTTTGAGGAAACACTTACTTGACTGCAAACCACCGATAAAGTGCCACTGAATACTCCTGGGCAGCATCTCCGCCTTCTGGCCCAGCTCCTGGGCGTAGTTCTCGCCGAAATGCACCTGCGGCGGTGTGGTCTGCTGGTGCAGCGCCAGGATATCGTTGGCTGGCTTCAGCTTTGAGACTGCCACTAACCGAACCTATTGTCACTGAATCAGCATCCATCTCGCACAAAACAAACTCCACGTCGTTGTGAAGAGAGATTCTCCCTGATTCCCCAACAGCGTTTCCGGGAAGTATACAGAGTGACGACTCACATTTCGCCCCGCAGCGACGGCGGTCACGCGCTCCTGGACAGACTGAAGCTGCGAAACCAGAGCCTTTGCTCTCGAGGGATCAATCTTCATCTCGGGTTGGGCGTCGGTCATTGCAGGGTTTACCGGGGTCGTCGTATCGATGAGTAAGGGTTTTGTGAATGAGACAGTGAGTGAGGTGAGACGAGGTACGGAGTTTTTGGCTATGAAAGTTGAGGTGAGGTTGAATTGCAGAGTCATTGAACTTCCAGCGTCTTCGGAGACGGGCCATAGTTGCGCTAACAAAAATGGGGCCGACCATCTGCGCAACAGAGTGCGGCGTAATGGAGATGGAGTTAGAGTCTACTCCCCTGTCTTAGACTCATTCAACAACCTTGATTGTCTTTTATCACTTAGAGGTTTCTTCACTGTCACGAATTTAGCTAACTCGAGTGAACTTTTTGATCTGAATAATCCTTAGAAGAATCCCATCTGAAAGATTGGCTGTTCCTTGGAGTACACTCAGACTGAAGAGCGGCGACGTCAGAGCGTATCTTCGCAGGTTAGATTAATCTACTTCTAAAATGCATCGCTCTTGTGATGATCAATGGGAAATGAATTCTGGCGGGATTCTATGATATCTTAGATGATCGCATCCATATTGTCGACAAAAGTCTTTACTTCTCAAACCCAGAGTCAAAATCTGAACGAAAACACTTGGTCTCCCCAAGTCATTCAATCGTGAGGTCAGACAACTGTCACTCCTTTATACTATACTAGCTGGAGGACAGCTTGGCAGCTTGGCAGCTAGAAAGAATTAAGTTACTATTAGTGACTATGGCATATTGAAACTCTCATTAGTATGCTGCTACCCCCCGCATCCATTTAGCTCCTCTCACAGATCGTCGCTGCTGTCCTCTTGAAGGTGAAATCCCTGTCCGCACCCATCATGCAAAGAATCACCATGTCTCGCCCTACTAGTTCAAGCTATCTGAGATCCCGAAAGTTCTGATCGGCCCCTTGAGTTCGTCGCCGGCACCTCGTGAGGCTCCTGGACACCAGACAGCTCCGTCCTCGGATTCTGGTACTCGTCCACAGGCGACGGGTACGACGGCGGAGGAGTCTGCCGCCTGCTGATCGGACTCACATTACTAGTCTGATGCGACAGTTGACGCGCCGGTGGCACCACAAACATGTGGTCGCCGGACGAGTTTGGGCTGGCGTATGCCGAATCATGGCGCATCTGCTGGTGTACAACGGGATGGAGCGTCGGCGTGGGATGGCGAGCCTGGATTCCCGTGTTTGCAGCATAGGCCGGCCGGTTGCGCCGGCGCAGGAACCAGAAACAGAGAGCCGCTGCAAGCAGAGCTCCGACCGCTACGCATCCTACCGCGATGCCGGCCACGGCGCCGGTGGAGAGGCTCGATGAGCCCGCTGAAGGGACGGCCGACTCCGTCGCTGGCTCGGATGTTGCGTTCGCTTTGACGACGAAGCCGCGACTTTGCAGTGCGTTGCCAATGAAGCCCGCAGGCGCATCAGTCTGAGTGTAATTGCCGGTTGGGTCGATGAGTCTTAGAGCGAAGTTGGGGTTTGTGGCTATGGTCTCCTCCGTGATGCCATCTTTTTCTCCAATGTACCAGGTATAATACCCATTATTTCTATCATTGGCTTCGCAAGGTCTCAGTTAGTATTGCCAAGTTGAAGCACCTCGCAACATCGTCCTTACTAATGAAAGACGCTACAGCTATGCCGGCATCCTGTCCCCAGTGCACTAGACTCAGAGAGATCCATGGCACAGTTGGGACCTCCCATGTGATGTGAACCTTTTGTCCCAGCACGTAAGTGCTGTTGAGATCCGGGACCGTCACACGGCCACCACTTCGGTCAAGTTCAAAACTTGGCGGTTCGGTGAAGTAGGCAGCTTGGACGGGTAGTATCGTGAAAGAAAGTATTCCAAAGAGCGCTCGGCTGAGCGAAAGCTGGCAGAGACATAACATAACGCGAGATGAAGAAAATACCAACAGAACCGAACAGGATCTGCCCAGAGGAAACAAACGCCTCATGATATGCATTTTAACCAACGATTACTGTGCCGTTTGCTCAGGGGACTCTGGGGCTTTGCGACTCATCTCGAGTCTGCCTTGACTAGGCCTGATTGAGGCATCAATCCTGAGATGCATGTACTCTAGCAAGGGTGCTAGAAAGAACGTTGCAATGAAATGAACGCTTCTTAGGCTAATTGAATGGTTGGTAGACACGATGCTGGCTGAGAAAAGGTACGCTGTGCCGCTGGGCTACAGCAATACGAACGCGCCAGCCAAGACTTCGTGTAGTCGAGGTCGCGAAGAGCCTGTACAAAGCATATGCTTTGCAAACAGCTGACTCATTTGAATAATACTACAGCGCTCATTACGGAGTAAATAAACACATGGGCATGAGAATAGACATTGGGTGGATGAAGCATCGCGATGCCTGGAACATTGAAGATGGCAAGCAGACGAATGAGACAATTTGGCCCCGCCACAAGCTCTAGCCACTTTGTTATCGCTATCGGATAAGGCACGAGCAATGCTTATCTTATCGGCCACATTAGGATCCTTGCTTCACGTAAAGTTACGCGTTCAGAAATTCCAGGGGGGATCGGAGGGTGGGATGACGGGATGACGGGATGTCATTTTTGCACGGCATGTTGGTTGGCTGATACCTGCCGTGCTGCTGTTGCCTTCAGGTTCCCCCTTGCTGTGCCTTATGCCGTGTGCCGACCGTGTCTTCGTCAGCTCCCCAATCCCGCGAAAGAGATAGGAAAGGGAAAAAAAGGGATGAAGGAGGAGGAGCACTGAATTGACGACGAACCTTCAACCACGATTGTCGCGTGTTCTTCACCTTTCGCCTCTCACACGGGCAGCTCCCTGGCCCTTTCTGATAACTAAACTTTTTTTCGCCTTTCGCTTAGGGTCAATTCCTCTTCTTCAACCGCTTTTGCACTTTTCTTTCCTTATCGTAGTTCCGATCGATTTGATCTCCATCCTCTAATTTATCAAGCCAGGTGTCTGTTCTTCGGCTTGGCTTGGTGTTGGAGCTCCCTGTCCACATGTCATACCCTTGAGCTCGACCATTACGAACCGAATCGACTCGACTCGACTCCATCGACCCACGATAACCTCAATTGATCCATCCCACTCGGCCTACGGCCCTTTAAGGCCCCGAATTCCCGAATCCTCATCGTCGATTACGTCTAGCTCGCCCGTCATGCCTAAGCAACACATGATATTTGGGCGGCCGCTCCCCCGCATCGGCGCAAGACGCATCTCCTTCCTCCTCGTCAGCATCTCCATCTTCGCCGTCTTCTCCCTTATCTTCACCCTCCCGAGCGCCATCCCCGCTGGCCCGAGCCTATCAAAGTACACCGACCACAAGTTCTCGATACCCTCAGCCTTGAAGAACCCATTCGGCGCCTCGAGCCGATTGAACCCTTTCAAGTCTCCATCACACCCGCCCCCGCGTCAACAAAATGATACGTACGGCGAGTCCTCCTGGTGGGCGGATTGGAAGTGGCTCTCTGTGCCCTTCTCTTCTTCATTGACCCTCGACGAGGAGCGCTCTCTACTGCCTCCCCTCAAGCCTCGCCCGGCCATCTACTGCTACTACGACACCACCATCAAGAAGGACGCCGCAAGCAAGGATGCCGAGAGCGAGCTTCTTCTCCTTTGGCGCCGCGCGTGGTGGGCCCGCGGCTTCAAGCCCATCATCCTTAGTGCTGCTGAGGCTATGAAGAACCCGCTCTACGACGAGCTTCAGCGCAAGGAGATGGACGCTGAACTCAAGACTGACCTGATGCGCTGGCTGGCCTGGGACAACATGCGCGGTGGCTTGCTCGCCTACCACACCACCCTGCCCATGGGCTCCCACGAGGATCCCCTCCTCTCTTACCTTCGCCGTGGCGAGTACCCAGAGCTCACCCGCTGGAACAACTTGAACAACGGTCTCTTTGCCGGCGGCGAGAAGGAGGTGACAAACGCCATCAAGGCTACCATGGCCGGCTCCAAGCTCAAGGAGGCCAAGGACTTCATCGCTGCTGCCACCGAGGACACCTTCAAGATTGACAACTACCCCAAGGCAATTGCCTACTATGACGTTGCGGTTATCCAGGACAAGTACCCCAAGGTCGGCGAGGCCATCGCCGCAGACCGTGCCGGCGGCCTCAAGGCCCTCAAGAACCTCATCAACGGCCACCTGCACACGACTTGGCAGAACGTCTTCTCAGACGGCATAGCCGTCCTCAAGCCTCTGCCTCAACACATGACAAACCTGATCAAGAACGCCTGGGACCTCGCCGGCGACCTCTCCATGTGCCCCGACTCGCCCATGCCGTCCTCCTGTCCGCCCAACAACCCCAAGTGCAAGCCCTGCGTCCCCGCGCAACCCATGCACGTCTCGACCCCTCCCCGCTACCGCAACACCTCGACCCTCTACACCATCGGCACCGTGCCGCACCCCTACACCACCGCTCTCCTCGCCAACCTCCAGGACACGATCGAGATCCCCTGGCTCCGCCGCAAATCCGAGCGCGATGCCTGGCTCGGCGCCGTAACCACGGAGCTCCTTGGCGTCGGCATCGGCAGCGCCCCGCGCGTCCTCAAGTTCAAGGAGGCCGTCGCCGGCGAGTTCGCGACCGCCCACTCCCTCTGGCTCACGGCCGAAAAGGACCTCCCCAAGGACCTCGACTGGCACTTTGGCTTCGCCATCCCCCACAACGCCACGGACGGCACATCGCAGACCCCCGTCCCCGGCCCCGAGCGCCGCCCGCAGCCCAAGCACGACCCTGCCGACGGACCCATCCCGACCGCCGAGGAGCTCGACAAGGAGAAGCCCCTGCTCAAGAGAGCCCGCGATATGGGCAAGACCAAGGACGCGCGCGAGCTTTCTATCCGTGGGGCCGTCGAGGCGTGGAACCTGGCGGACACCGAGTCGTGGAAGTTTGCGCGTGCGTTCCTGGCTCGTCGTATCGTCGAACGCAAGGAGTGGGAGGAGAACGAGAGCCAGTACGTCGGCGGCGTCGGTACCGAGAAGGGACGCCGTACGAGTTGGGGTGATCGCTGGATGGATAAGGATAAGAAGCAGTAAGGACGGGTGAC